AGTCAGGGTGCATAGGGAAGCAAACAATCCATGTTTCTCTCTCACATTCATGCTTTCTTTCTCCCTTTCTCTCTCCCTTCCTCTCTCTAAAAAATTCAATAAAAAATCATATCCTAGGGTGAGGATTAAAAAAATAAATAAAAGGCAATGGAATGAGAAAATGTTGTTTACAGTCTTGTCAGTGTTTTCTGCCAATATTCTGTCTTCCCAACAGCTGCAGCAGGACATGCTGTTGGTATTTGGAGGCTTCTAGAAGGAGAAGGGGCCAAGTTTACTTTTCTAATCTCCAAATTCAGCATACAGGTCACCACTCAAACACCTTCTCTATGTGTGCATTAAGCCATCACTACTAAATGTTCTTAGCTATGACACCTCTCAGCAGAGCTGGGATCCCCGAGTTCTGTGCTGCTGAGCACACACTATGACTTACTTGCAGAAGTCACTTGACCTCTCTTCACTTCATTGCAAAAATTTTAAATAATGATTCCAACTTAGCACAGAGTAAATGGACTGAAAAAAATCCTTTGTACTAAAAAGAAATGCTCATTTCTGATTGACTTTGTTCAAGCTGTGTCCAATGTGTTGATGCTTTTTTTAGTTCATGTCGTGGTTGTAATGATAACTAGCACTGTTATTTATGGAAACCACTTTTTTATTTTTATTTTTATTGCCTAGAAAGGGGATTAGGCAAAACTTCTTTGTCTTTTGGCCTGATCATAGACAGCTCTCAGACATTCTTAATTTATAGCCCATCATCATCTGCTATTATTAGGTGTCTCAAATGAATCCATCTCCTAATTGTGACCAAGGCTAAGTCATGAATGATTCTGCATGAAGGCAATTATTCTTGGATGCTCACAAAGGCCAATTTCGGGTTGGGTTTCGGAGTACTTTAGTACAGGACACATGCACGAAAGTGTCTCCCTAATTCTGTCACTTGATTTTAGTACACAGACTTGTCACTGTTCCTCAGACTGTTCACCTAAGTCAAGAAAGTCAAGAGTCACAAAAATGCACCATGAACAATTTCCATAGCAGGTAAAATAAATCAGTCTTTTTACTCATTTATAAAATAAGTAGCAGGAAGGCATAGTATTATATTTTTGTTAAATGGAAACTTGGAATAAGGTACTCAAATTCACTTTTTGTTAGTCACAAACCCATCATCAAACGAGAGCAGGAACAGATTTTTGGAGCCAATGTAAATGGAAAATAAAGATTTTTTTCACAAGAAAGCCTCTGAGTGGCACTTATATGAATGTATATAATTCCCTCCAGAGGTCTGCTGAGCACCCCAGTCGTCACTCCTTCAGGATCCCCAGCAACTATTTTACCAAGTGCTCCTTTCTCCCTCCTTCTCTCTCCCTCCCGATCTTGCCTACTATGATACAATTTTCAGACATATCAAAGGGGGTTAATATATTACACCATAATAACAAGCTGCAGAATCCTCATACTTGAGTTGAAAATGTCTGTCAGAAACTCTTTACTGAAAAATAATTCATTGGGCTGAAAACACAGGCATTGCTATTAATTGATCACATCCTTAATTCCTCATGTTCTGCATTTTCTTGGTAATGACTGTGGCAAGAAAAACTTTATGGCTGAGGAGGTCTGTGCGGGGGGACTCTGAGTTCAGAAGGCTTGCCCCCAAATATCACTTGCTTTTCCTAAAAACGGCTTCAATTAATTTGTCTCATCCTTTCTTGATTTTATTCATAAAGAAAAGCTGTTTATTGGAACCAGGATTTTCTTAAGCATACTAGAAGCTGGGCAACATAGCCTTGCATTTCAATTATTCAAAAAAATTTTTTATATTTTTTATTTTTTTGTTAATCCTCACCCGAGGATATTTTTTCCATTGATTTTTATTTTCATTTTTTTTAGATAGAATAGAAGGGAGGGGGAAGAGAGAAAGAAAGAAACATTGATGTGAGAGAGACACATTGATTGGTTGCCCCCCAGACGACCCCAGTGGGAGTGCCAGGGATCAAACCTGCAACACAAGGTACATGCCCTTGACTGGGCATCGAAACTGCGACCCTTCATTCCTTGGGCTGACACTCTAACCACCAAGCCAAACTGGGCAGGGCTAATATTTATTTTTTAATCATCAAAGAATTCCGCTCAATATTGTGTTCTGGGATTTCATTCCAAGTATAAGTTCACGTTAACAATAACCTTCCATTAAAACAACCCTGCACACTTTTTCTGCATGTGTCATTTCCGTTTCAAGTCACATAAAAGATATATTGAAGCATAATCAAACTACCTACCCTTTCAAATAGTTTCTCAGACAAAATGAGCTTATCTCTGAAAAAAAAAACAAACAAAACAAAACTGTGAGAATTTTACTGTGACCCCATTCAAAAGACACTTTGCATATTACTTTTTAAATATCATCTGTATCAAATATTTTCATTTCAGTATTTTTTATTTTTTATCAACTAAGAATGAGAGGATGATACTCTGCTTTCCACAATTTTTGGATAAATAACTGCTTGTAGCAAACAACTTGCTTTCTACCATATGGATCATTTTTTTAAAAAAAATGAAGCCAAGTATTATTTTATATTCACATTCTCTTGAAGATGTTTTGTTTGAGCTGTAAATTGCACATGATGTTTTAGGTAGCACGTGTTTATTTCTGTTGAAAGAGCATGTCCTATTTTTGAGGAAGGAAAAAAAGCTTGTAAGACATCAAATGTTTCTTGCAAAACAATTTGATGAAATAAATGTAAATGAATCAAATCCATGTGAATTGTATTTCAATTAAAATAAATGGGCTTAAATGTGAAGGGAGTAAAATGCTTGGGGGAAAGAGTGTGGCAAGTCAGGAAGTGACATTTGTTTTGTTTTCATCAGTTTTGGAGTTTTGAAAAATGGCTTAATATTCGGAAGTCAACTTCATTCAGATTCTCTCTTAAGCCTAACACTGGAGTTCCAGAATGGGACAATGATGTGAAAATTTATTTTATAGCTTTATCTGACTCCGATTATAATATTATAGGCATCAAATATTGCCACCAGTCCTTCAAAAGCACTCTCAATTTAAAGTTAGTGGTTTTTCCATTTTCTATTTTCTTTTAAGGGTAAGCAGTAAATTGTAATGAAGCTAGACGTATATTTTTTTCACAGAACCACATGTAAAGTTTTCAGACTCGCATATCAACTTTTCCTCTAACTTTCCTCTATTTCTTTCCTCTACCGGAAGTTGATCCAATCTAAACGAAAACCCCGTGAGGGTTGATGTTGAATGTATGCACACAGTGTGTACACACAGATGCAGGAGGAGTAAGCAGGGCAGGGGAGAAAAGGAAATGGTAGAAACAGAGAGAATGAAAGAGTGAGAGAGAAGGGAAAACAAATCAGCAATGTGTACAGTTAGGCCATCAAACCTCATTTACATGTAAAGCACTCGAATCATACTCATTACTTCAGTGACAAAAATTTTATTCCATAGTTTTCTATTCATATTATTTATGCTTGGTTAAAAAACAACTATATATATATGCTATAAACAACTATATATATATATGCTATGTAGTTGTTTTTTATACAGTTGTGTGTTTTATGTATATGTATATATATTTCAATTAAGAAATAACTATGCATTACTCTGAAAATCAGGGAAAAAAACTGAACTACCAAAAAAAACAAAACAAAAACCTAAATAAGTCTCCCTGTCAACATGTCTCTAAATAGGAGTAAGTTTGCTGTGTGGTTTGACACTTCAGTTTATCAACTCTCAGCCTCTGCAAACAGGGATATTTTAAGTGTTCCAATAACTTCCAAGAGGCAAAGGGTATATAACTGTAGAATATGTTTTTATTTTTGGGGATAATATGACTCTGCTTCAGTAGCCTTCTGAACACAGAACGTGATGGAGAAGTAGGACTAGAAGTCCTTTCTGTATAAACGAAGGTGCAGTAGCCTCCAGGGCCATGCTTATGTGTCCGGAGGCTACTTTCCTGTTTCCCGAGAACATGATGATGTGGTCAGAGCTTATCCCCACGTTGGAAGTGGTTCTGCTCTTTGCTCCCCACAGGATACATTTGTGAGGTGTCACTCTTAAAATATTTGTTCCGTAGTTAGGCAGATGCATTTTAAGTTCTAGCACAGCCCTTTATTATTTTATTTAACCCTTCACTCATCCTAGTCTAGCAGATGGAAAACCCAGTGGCTTACCTAACTGTTTTATTTGTAACTTAAGTCAGTGGCGATATAAGAATTGTACATGCTTCTGAGCCCCCAAAGTCACTCCTAAGGGCTCTACTAATCAACACAAACTCTAATTTTTTTTAATCCTCAACAAGACATTTTATCTTCAGATAGAGTGGGAGAAGGGGGGGTAAGAGAGAGAGAGAGAGAGAAACATCGATGTAAGAGAGACACATGGAGTGGTCGCCACCCACACGACCCCAACCAGGACTGGGGACAAACTGCAACCAAGGTACGTGCTCTTAGCAGAAACCAAACCTGGGACTCTCTGGTCTGCAGGCCGACGCTCTAATCACTGAGAAAACTGTCCAGAGCACAAATTCTAAATTTTTAAAGAGGATTTCTTATTAATTTTCTTTAGAGGGAGAGGGAGAGAGAAATATCCGTGTGAGAGTGGAATATCAGTTGGCCGTCTCCTGCATACCCCCAACTGGAGATCAACCCACAACCCAGGCATGTGCCCTGACCTGGAATCCAACCATCTACCCTCCAGTGCACAAGAGGACACCCACACTGACCTGGGTGCAAAGTCTAAATCTCCAAAATTATGTCAATGAAAATAAACTAGTAGTGTCAACTTCATCTTTTTCGCTATCAACAATCAATATTTCTAAGGTTCTCAATGAAGTAAGTGTCTCTATGTGGGATCTATGCTCAGAACATTATTTCAGTGGTATATATGGTGACTTATTTTTCATTCTAATTTGCAACAGTATCTTTTCATAAGTGTTAAAATATCTAATCTACTTTGCTCTTGATGTTGTTCCACTTCATGACAGGCCTACCCTTGCAGCAGTGACAAGGAATGTGAAGTTGGGAGGTATTGCCACAGTCCCCACCAGGGATCATCAGCCTGCATGGTGTGTCGAAGGAAAAAGAAGCGGTGTCATAGAGATGGCATGTGTTGTCCTGGTAACCGCTGCAATAATGGTAAAGATAGAGCTCAGTGTGATGAGCCTCTTTCTTTTCATGTTAGGCTACCTTCTCCTTAGACTCCCAACATGTAAAGAGCCTTTCCAAACAGGCAAGAATTAGAGCATAGTTTAGGTAAGATTACCTGGATTACCTCTAAAATCTTAGGTTTCCTAGGCTTTGATCACCTTCTGTATTTAATAATCTATGCTGAGTTGGGTTTGCCTTGTTAAAGAGTTGTGTGTAAATAGCTATTTTCTATTCCACTAAACACATGAGCAAAGACATGCAAAAGAATCAAAGAAAAGAACCTGCTGTGATTCAGCAATGCAGTTGTGAGTCCATCTTCCAATTTCATACCCATTTTATACCTTGATTCTCATACTCAAGTGTCGTCTTTGGAAGGCCTTACCAGGGGATGAAGTTATTGGTTCCTCCAAAAGGAGATACAGAAGTTTATTCCCCAGCCATCCCATAAACATGGCTTTGCCCAATCTCAATGAATTTATAGGCACAAATTCAGCATTAATAATGAACGGAAGAACCACAGATAACACGTGGTAAAACCACTAAATAATTGCAGAAGATGATCAAACACATACACTTAGTCATACAAACAGCACAAATCAGGCTCATATTCCTATACTTGTTCCTCACCTCTGGGCATGGTCCTACTGGGAATACCTGGGACAGGAGACAAAGGGAAGAGAACCTCATACCATTAGAGAGGTTTGACAGTGTAGATTAGGATTGTGTTGTTGACTGAACAAAGGGACCTGAGTCCCAAAGATGCATGTCTGCTCAGACATTTTAAAAGTATGAATATCCAGTATTAATACTTTACTATGTTACTAGTCTATGCCTGCACATGTATTCGCAATAACTTAGTAAAATAAATTCTGTTTTTATTCCTATGTTTGCCTAAGGTCACTCATTTTTGAGAGAGACAAGATGCCAATCAAGGAAGCCTGGCTCAGGGCCATATTGTTCAATACTCGGTTTGAATAAATTTGTAAATCAATGAAGGAATGAATAGATAGATTATAGATAGGTAGATGAATAGATCAATAAATAGATAGATGACTTTATGCCTTGCATCAGGACAATACTTGGATAAGAACCGCACTGTGTGGAGTTGATAAGACTAACGGCTTACCTGACCATCTCCAGGCATCTGCATCCCAGTCACTGAGAGCATCTTAACCCCTCACATCCCAGCTCTGGATGGCACTCGGCACAGAGATCGAAACCATGGTCATTACTCAAACCACGACTTGGGCTGGCAGAATCTAGGAAGACCACACACTAAGATGTCACATATAAAAGGTAGGGATAACTGTAGTTCTACATGTACTTTTTCTTGTTTTACATAGAGTTATAGAAAATATAGATTAATGAATTCCATTGGTTTTAGAAATATTCAAAGAAGATGTGTTAAAGGCAGAATGGTAAGTAACTGAATTAATTATCAATTTTGAGGATGCTTAGAGCTTTCTTAGAGGTCTTAAACTGTTAGAAAATATGTGTTACAAGAATTGCAGTACCCTGATCAACCATGTCATTTTCTTAACAGTCCTGTCTTTTCACATGGGATTTAGAAATCGCTTATACAAGCACTTCTGTCACATATCAAAGGATACAGCATTCTGAAAAATAAATAGAAAAATGTTTGCTTCCATGTGATTACATAACTATGTTTTTGAGTCTTTCTCACCTATGCAGATTCAGAAATTTTATTGCACTAAACAATCAGATATTCATAAAACAATTTCCCAAGAATACTTGGTATCTAGTGTAATTATGTATGGCTATATATCACCTTCATTGTATCAAAATATGTGAGAAGCCCTGGCTGCTTTGGCTCAGCGGTTGGAGCGTTGGCCTGCAGACCAGAGAGTCCTGGGTTCAGTTCCCTCTGGGGGCATGTACCAAACAAACAAACAAAAAATATGTGCGAAGCCTAATCCCTAATAATAACAGTTAAAAGTATGAACCTTATTACCAGTAGTAGAATTTTGAAGTCATGAAACATTCATTTTTAAAGGAAGATTTTTGCAAGTACATTCTGTGGAGCCCTACTCTTTCAAGACATTCTATGAATAAAAGTGCCCTGTGTTTTGTAATAATGTATCTCACCATGTTGGGAACTTTATAATATGCATCAATCTATTGAATGCTCTGAGAAGTCCAGCAATGAGGAAAGTTGGTTAACTTTTTAAAATACTGTATTTCCCCGATTTGAACAAAAAAAACAGTTCCCCCATTTTCATGATCTGCAGAGAAAGTATCATATAGGATACTTGACCTATTAGTCTAACCTGGAGTACAAATGGTCACATGGATAGGACTAGAGATTGACAATTCTTGACTCCCTAAAGGCCTTTACCCATAGCTTCTATTTCTACTCCACCAAATTCACACGCATTTGTTAGTACATGAGTGTTTCTCTTAATTCTAGCAGATGTCCATGTCACTGTGTACTTTCAAATTTACTAATTATTTATATACAATTACATGTGACATCTTATCATGGCAAGTCGGAAGAAATGCTCTGCCAGTGGCTCGTGAGTTGTGGCAACATCACACGGTGGGATTGGTTACATTTGGGATGACAGATAACCCTTTCGGCCAGGAGTCTCACGCCATGGACTGTGAGCCAAATTTGTCCCACTGCCTGTTTTTAGAAATAATCTTTTCTTGTAACACAGACTTGCTCATTCATTTAGACATTATCTATGGCTGTTTTTGCAAGACAACAGGAGAATCTGTGTGTTTCAGAGAAGTTTGCTGATGCCTTCTTTATACAGGTTACACATCAACCCATGTGTGCAGGCTCTTTGCTGGCTTAATTATTTTTTCTGAATTAAATACCCAGATTTGTGCCTCCACATATTTTTGTTCTTATTATTGATTTTATTATTATTATTATTATTAAAGAGAGAGGAAGGGAGAGAGAAAAACATCGATGAGAGAGAAACATCAATTGCCTGCCTCCTGCACACACCCTACTGGGGATTGAGCCCCCAAACCTGATCATGTGCCCTGACCAGGAATCAAACCAGCAACATTTTGGTGTATGGTATGATGCCCAACCAACTGAGCCATACTGGCCAGGGCTCCACGTGTTTTTTATGATGTGTTCTTGGTTGACCCTGGGGCTTCATGCTCTTTCTCTGTATCACAACTCTTTCTAGACTGCATTTCTTGGGCTCCTTGTCAGTGGCTTCCAGCCACATGTGTTTTGCTGTGGTGGGACATTGAGAGGAAGAGGAAAGGAAAAGCCAACATGTTCTCCCTGCCTCTGGTAGTGTGTTTCCGGCAGAGCTGCATGTCCTCGGGGTTTTAGTCCTGCCTGTTGAGCGCGATGAGTTCCCATCCTGGCCAGAGATCCCAGCCCCAGATGCTGCCATCCTTTGCTCCTCTGGATCCTCCAGCCTGAATCGAAAGTGGCTTCCTGGCTGTGTTGTCTAAAACCCTGCCCCTTCCTGTGTGCCCAGTTCTCTGTATTAAATACCTCCTATTTTGAAGAATCCGTTTCTGTTTTCCTGGGGCTAGAGTCTAATATGTGATCATAGGAGCTCCTGAGAATTTCAGCCTCCTCCTTGAACCAGAGTTTGTTTACAACTCTCAAGAAGGTATCCAATTACTTAATTTTGGAAGCAATGCTTTTTATTTGTTTTTCACTCACCCAGTAAAAAAATAATAATAATGATCAAGGAAATATCTAGAAACAGACCATGACAAAGTAAAGGTAAAGTAGAGTCTAGCTCTTTATTAAACCTGATATTCAGAGAGCAAATATGAAAATAGACAGTAATGGATTTACATGATTAGGAGGAGAGCCAGTTGATGTGAACCCAGGACATTATGGAAGATGGCGTAAGTGAACGTATTTTACATGCTTCTGATTGCAAAGTAGGATTTTGGCTGAAGTGTCCTGGTGATATATTTTCGGTCGTCATCCCCATAGGGCATGAAGGAGACCCCTGTCTGCGATCATCAGACTGCATTGAAGGGTTTTGCTGTGCTCGTCACTTCTGGACCAAAATCTGCAAGCCGGTGCTCCACCAGGGGGAAGTCTGTACCAAACAGCGCAAGAAAGGCTCCCACGGGCTGGAGATCTTCCAGCGGTGTGACTGCGCCAAGGGCCTGTCCTGTAAAGTATGGAAAGACGCCACCTACTCCTCCAAAGCCAGACTCCACGTGTGTCAGAAAATATGATCCCTTCGGAGAGAAGCGTCACAAGCGGACTGTGAATCTGTGCATTCAGTGCGTCGCGGCACGGTGGAAAACAGGATGTGGGTCTCAGAAGAATGGCTCATGTAAGGCATGTGGAGGATGTAAATCACAGAGCGAGAGAAAGAAAATGGAGAACTAAGCTGATTGGAAAGGGTGACAAATATTGTGTAACTAGTGTGTTTCCATTATGCAGCTTGTTTATGTAAATAATGTACACACATGTGAAAATGCAATTTCTGGCGGGGGAGGGGGAAGACCAGTGACAGTTACCAAAGAATACCATGTGACTTTCCAAGAGTCTATGTTGTGCTGGAGTATCAGTTTCCTTTCGATTGGTGATTGTCCAAAAATAAACTAAAAGCTATATTTCTATTCAAAGTTACAGTTCAATAAAATATGCCCAGAGTATCTTGGTATACAATGGGATGGAAAACATGGAAAAAAATTGTTAAATAGGAAATGAAACACTGAGCAGAGTTCATTTGCAACAGAGATCACCTCTGAATTTGGAACACTGCTTCTACTGTTCAATTAAAGGCCTCGGTAGACAAGAAAAAAAGCAGTTGATATTTTCCCAAATAATTTCAAAAGAATTGCTGGTCTCTTATCGAGACCTTTAGAAAAGAAAAATCTTGTTTTTCCTCAAACTGCTAATTTGTACTTTCCCATATTTGCTTTCACCTGTACACAGTAAGAACCAGTATAACAAGACAAGAGGAGTCCCTTCAGATTCTCAAGGAATGAATGTGCATTTTTCTAGACTACGTGATTCCTACCATGAGTACATGTTATTTTCCAACCTGACCCCAATAGTCATGAAAAGCACAGAGCTGAATTTTCAAAAATTACATTTTTTTTTAAAGATATCCAACATATATGGGAAACAAAGCTAATACAGAGTCTTTTTTAAAGCTTTGGCATTGCCCACGTGTTGATAGCATTAGACTCATAAATGCACTTATTCTTTACGTTCTCTGCAGTATAGTGGGGTACAGCTGATAACCCAGACTGGAGCTGTGTCTGTCCTGCACTGAGGCCAGCAAGAACATGGGTAAAATTCTGTCAAGAACCCAGGTGTGGGCAATACATAGATGATGTCTGAAATTGACTTTTCAGCTTTCAGTCCCAAGGCTGCACAACCTCAGTGGAAGTTTTCTGTGGGATTTGCTATCTTAAATACTCAACACACATCTAAGTACAGTGTGCGGTCACTTCTTGACCTCAAAATACATATTTTATACATTTGAAGCTCTAAAAGAATAGGAGTTCTCCCAAAACTGACTCCCAAGATAGTGAGGTTCCTTTGCCCTCCAACTGGCTGGTGGTAGCATCTGGTTTTTCTACACAAGCCTTTCCCTACAACAGCTCCCCTGCCCCCAAAGATATACTTTCTGTTTTCTGCACCCATTGAGATAAAAAAATATATATGTATAGAAATGGAATAACTTGTGAAATCTACATATTGCTAACCTATAAAAACTGCAGGTTCTTCATTCTTTAAAACCATTTTTATTATTTCTTTTACTTTACTCATTTCTAAATATTATGTCTAGATAGAATATAAGGCAAAAAGTTATAATTGTTACTTTTGACCTTTTCTTTTATAGAGTTGAAATCACTCCTTAATTTTTTTCTTTTACTTAACCCTCATCTTGAGTCTCAAATTCAAGTTCTCCCAGAAATTGAACCTGAACCTGCGTGTCTATTAAGAATTTTAGCTTCCCACACATGTTTACTAAGACAATTAAGATTTACATTTTCCCTACATGTCTGCAAAAACAGAAGTTTTCAATGAATCTATCCAAGAACCAAGTCTGTGCAAACAGGATTCTATACGCTTGGCAACATAAAAATGGGCCATTTCAGTCTAGCATTTCCTATTAACAATCACATTTACAGTCTGGTTTCTGCATTATTTTCCTTATGTACATCCCTTCAAAAATTATTATTTGAAGTAATTTATTTACAGGAAATGTTATGAGATGTATTTTCTTATAGAGATATTTCTTACAGAAAGCTTTGTAGCAGAATATATTTGCAGCAACTGACTTTGTAATTTAGGGGGAATGTATAATAAGATAAAATATATTAAAATTTTCTTCTTCAAAAATGGAATTTAATTTCCCTTGTGTTTTTCTTATGGGGAAAGCTTTCATAGAATCACAGATTGTCAGAGTTCAGCTGGACTTGGTCTGATTCGGAGCGAGGAGAAATCGAAATTCTTTGGACAACATCACCATAGATGATCCAAGGCAGTTTACTGTTACTGAAGGTCGCTTATTTCATGCATTACAGCTGTAATTGTTAGAAAGTTGTTATTTTTATTAAAATATTTCAGCTTATGATTTCCATCCATTTATTCTTTTTTTGCCTTCTGGAACAACTTGGAACAAAGACTCTCTAGAAACTTGTTCTAAACATTTGAAGCCATCTCCCATAGTTCTTATCATCTCTGCAGGTTAAAATTTTTCTTAAAAATTTTTTTTCTTTATAGATTTTAGAGAGAGATAGAAACATCAATGAGAGAGAACATTGATTGGTCACCTCCTGCATGCTCTCCACTGGGGATTTGGCCCACAAGCTGGGCATATGCCCTGACCGGGAATCAAACCAGCAACCTCCTGTTACATTGGTTGACACTCAACCACTGAGCCACAGTTGCTGGGCTACAGGTTAAATTTTTTCAAAATAGAAATGTCAACATGTTGAGAATACTGGTTCATCTCCCTATAGTACAAAAAAGATACAAAGTATCTTCATCTCTTATGGATACAAACTGAGTTGCCTGGCCCTGAGTGGACTCAAACCTACTTCCTGGGAAGGTCTTTCCTCTGCTTCCTGAACACAGAGATGTCAGGAGGGTTTGACAAACAGTATCCACCAATTATGGGCCTGGGGGTGGTTGCAACAGCCCATGTTATATTGGAGATGGTAATGGGCTGAAAATGTGGAAAAATAAACATTCTGTGCTGCAGTTAAACGGATTAAGAAAAGCTATGGCAGCCTAAGGAAGCTGAGACAGCCCCATAGCTACAGGTCAGAGTGGAAGATTCCTCAAGCATTGCTGAATAATCCCCACGTTTCTAATTAGTCACTTATGCGTATTTATAACTAGTTAATCCATTTCCTCTAATTCAGAATATTTATATTCCCTAGCTCCAGTGTATTCTTATACTATGACAATCACATGGGTGTTCTTTTCTTCTTTACCACTGGGTTCAGTGAGATGCTCCAAGAAATGACAAATTGTCCTGACTCCTTTTAGAACCAAGAAGTGATATACCTACTGTAGCCTTCGGAATTGAGGAAACAATCAGTTACACCTTTCTCTTTCTCTAAATTCAGGCCACTGAGAAAAAGTTTAAGACAGAAAGGCAGATGGTGACAGATTACCCTGATAAAGTTAATAGTGGAGAGTGCGGCATGTATCTGTGGGCAAGAGGACACAGAAAGAGACAGATCCGGTGCCCATTCTCAAGCAAGACCAGACGACATAGGTTCTACCCATGGGAGCTGCCGCTGTGAAATGTCCTACCTGGACTGGCAGAGCAGAATGGCACACTTCGTCCCAGCAGCTAGTGCCAAAGAAGAAGGGTGGGGGAGGGATAGAACCATGTATTTCTCATTCAAGAATTTCATTTGAAATTCTAAAAAACTGGATAATCCATACCACAGGAGAGTAATGAGAGAGATGGAGTGAGACCAAGGTAATTATACACTCTACATTAAACTAACACTAAGAATTAGAAATGACCCCCCAGTATCATTCTCCAGATCTTTATATTTTAACCCATTATACATAACCATTTATCTATGGTAAAGATATGGGTTTTAACTGAAATCTGATCAGTTATCTACTAGACCGGTACCTGATGAGGTCATCCCTAGCGCCAGTCACTCCTTCTACATGGGTCCTCTCAGGACCAGTGGTGGGGAATGTAGATTTTATCCCCCAATTGCAAAATGGATAAAAATAGTTCATTAATTCAATTTACTCCAAGGCCACACTATACTCAGAACTGAAAAATAACTCCCCTCTCTTTTTACCACCCCAAATTATGTTTATCATATTATCCAATACAGTCTATCAGAGGTTCTTCAGTGAGATTAAAGGACACATTGTGTATTTGATAACAACATGTATAGAAGCACTTCAATTATAAATTCCAACAATACAGAGAGACCCCACTTTAGAATATCAATCTTCTACTCAAAATCCCCAGAAAAATTCAAGTACAAAACTTAAATTCACTTGCAAGTTAAAGTTTAAGTAAAAAAAAGTAAAGTCTATATTTGTTGGCTTCCTCTTTAGAATAAGGAGTCCAAAAAAAATGGAAATTCAAAATCCTCAAGTTAATAGCTACAGTTTTATGCCCTTATTCCATGTTCTGTTCTGTTTCCACCAGAGGGATTGAAATCTGGGAGAAGTCAGACCCCTTCTGCCACTGTGGCCTGGACAGTGTCTCACAGGAACAAAAAACTTCATTTAAAAAAAAAAAAATGTCCAATGAATTTTTAGCACACACAAAAGTAAGCCAAAATTTCATCACATTTAGAGAACAAACCAATCTCTAGCTCATAGAGCAGATATCTCAAACAACGTGCTAGGCCATGGTGTTGTCAGAAACCATTGCAGAAATGTTTGATATCCAACTGAAGGAAGATGGATGGAGAAAATCTTTGTTTTTGCATTGCTAAAAATTTCAACCAGTCCCCATCAGCTGTCTGGAATCCATGACCTTTGTACTCAAACTTACTTGAGATGAACGTCCCATCAAGACCTTAGCTATGGCACTGTATTTTACCACATGGTAAGGTGGGAGGAGAATCCACCTGTGTGTTCCACCTGCCTTTAGAGAGTGTGTGGTGTTCGAGGCATTGCTGCCTTCATGTAAAACTGGTCAAGTCTAGCAATTCACCATGGTATTCGCCTTGTCGGGGCTTCTTTCTTATGTACCTAGCATATTCAAAGCCTCCCTAGTACTTCACTAAGAATAGGTTTGGTTTGATGATGTGACCTTCACAGTATCTTCCAAGCTGACGTTTTTAGGGGTGTGCTACAGTGGCTGCTTCCATTGTTCCATGCTGTGAGATTACATCCTCCCTTACCCCTGCTTTTGTTCTAGTTCTAGAAGCACATCAGTGGATTTCTGAAATCAGATTGCTAAGGATACTTACAAAAATTATTTTGCCAAAGGGTGCTCCAGGGCACAGAAGACACTACCAACTAACTTTTCTTTGCTCAACACATACTCACTGAGAGCAGCTTCTGTGTGCTAGGCAGCTTTGTAGGCACAGTGAGTTGAAGCAGAGAACCAAACCAAGAAAGTTCATTTTCTCAGTTTCTTACCTTCCCGTTACTTTTTAGAGCAATAGCTAGAAGGCATAAAATAACTTAAAAAATGATAATTGTTATAAGAGACAGGAGCACGTTGAAGAAAATTGAAGCAAGGTAAAGGAACAGAGGAAAATGAGTAGTGCTGTTATTTAGTTCTGTGGTCAGGAAAGATCTCTTCGAGGAGAGAAACAGATGCAGAAACCTGAGTGAAGTGAAGCATTTGGCAATACCAAGTTCTAGGAAACAGTGGCATAGGGTGGAGAAGAGGAAGGCAGGCATCTGACAATGGGAAGGCGTTGAAAGAGAGAGTGAAGTGGGATGGGAAAGGAAGAGAGGTAGGAGATGAGGTCAGAGAAGGAATTGGGTTAGACTGTGTAGACTCACTGACCATCATACGGACTTCTAGTTTGAATGAGATTTGGAGCTGGCAAGAGCTTTTGAGCACAGGAGTAGCTTGAGCAAATATGTTTTCAAAGAATCACCCAGGCTGCTATGTGGAGAAGAGACCCTAGAGCGTCCAGGCAAGAACTGCTAGTGGCTTAGATGGGTGGAACTCGTGAGAAATCATTGGATTTGGGGTCTGTTGGAGATGGAGCCAACCGGATTTGCTGTTGGACCAGATGACGGTTTAGAGAAAAAGAGTAGAATCTCTCTGGCCTAGCATGAGGATCAGGAACAAAGAAAGAGAAATTTTTGATTTAAAAAAAAAGTTTAAAAAAAAATCTTTTCTGTACATTGGCCTTGTATTTAATATATAAAGAAAGAATTGTCTTCAGCAGGATCTTGACAATTCTCTAAAAATTGCCCTTTGTAAGTGTCTCATCATCCAACCTGAGGACTTGAGAAAAAAATTCGATGGAAAGGAATTGCATCAACTAAGAGAAAACCTATTGAATGTACTAAGCAAAGCAGTTGCAGACAAGTAGAAGAATGGGGAGGTGGCAGGAAGATTCAGGAAAGGAAATAAACAGGGGCCAGGGCACAGAGATTCAAGTGAGCATGCAAGAAAAAGATGCATCAAGTGTAATGCTGGAAATCCCAAAAGGTGCTAATAAGATGCTACAATTTAATACAGATGTCAAGGGGTGTCAAGAAAAACTCATGGGAGGAGAATAGCTTACTCACAGCAGTAGGTTTAGAAAATTATTTTAGCAAAGGGTGTAGCTCAGACAACACTCCCATTGACACTGGGCCAACGAATTGCATTAAAGGGCAGTTTGTCAAAGCAAGTCATGGTTCTCTTTCAGTCTTCAGTAATTGAATAGTGTAGGACCTGGGAATTTTAAAGAAATAACAATATGCAAGTAATTGAAGTAGTTTCATGAGAAATACTCTTGCCATCATACCTCTAACACATACGTCATGAATACCACAGTGCACAACCTTTTAAAATTTCCTAGGGGTCAGCATTTCTTATAGATGCCATGGACTTGTTTTATTTGCTCCACACCTTCCCACTTCACTGCACCTGCTGCACCAGTCATCGTTCTGCATTTAATGGCCAGTCAGCCTCCAGGGCCTAGTAACAGATGGAGAACATCAGATCAGCTAGTGCATGTAAAATAGACTAAGTCCCACTTAAGCTTTTCAAGGAGACTTTGAAATTTAGATCATTTAATTTTCCATTTCTTTTCCTACCTGGCCTATCACTCCTTACAGCTGTGTTGTCTGTTCCA